TCTGGTTATTAAAATCTCAGACAATTAAAGTCTCACATTGTGGGGCACAAACCTCTCTGAGGGTGCTTGGAAAATAAAACCCCACCAGGAAAATACCCCTGAAGGTCTGGCTGTGGCTGGAGCAGGCAAATCTCCTCCCAGCACACAACTGGGAGTGATCTCCATCCTAACTGGTTTTGCTGGGTTCAAATTCTCTGCTTGGAGCAATTATTCCATGGAAAAATGAATTCTGCTGCTTGTGCTTGGGGCTTTTCCAGGTTTCCTGGGGGGAAGGAGGTTGGTGACAGGAAACTCCTGATGCTGCAGGGATGAGGTTTGTTTTGGTTTTGTTGTTTGTTTTTTTGGCCAAAGCAGGGAAAACATTCCCGTGCTTTTATTTTGGTGTGGCAGAGGTTACAAAAGCCAGCCTGCCTTGTGCTGTGTCAGAGAAACACCCCGAGGGGATGGGAGTGTGTCCCCTCCTGCTGCCCTGCCTGCAGCCCCCTGCCTGTTCTCCTCCCTCCTGGGAAGGGAACAGCCCCAACGAGCCAGGGGGAAACCCCAGGGGCTTATTTTTGATGGTTTATTTGGCTTAAATGTTGTATAAACTGAAGGATGGGTTGGGCTGTGCCCACCTCCCCTGGTGGTTTGGGTGCCAGTGATGCTCCCTGTGCCCCTTTTGGGTGCCAGTGATGCTCCCTGTGCCCCTTTTGGGTGCCAGTGATGCTCCCTGTGCCCCTTTTGGGTGCCAGTGATGCTCCCTGTGCCCCTTTTGGGTGCCAGTGATGCTCCCTGTGCCCCTTTTGGGGGCCAGTGATGCTCCCTGTGCCTGTTTTAGATGCCAGTGATGTTCCTTGTGCCTCTTTTGGGTGCCAGTGATGCTCCCTGTGCCCCTTTTGGGTGCCAGTGATGCTCCCTGTGCCTGTTTTAGATGCCAGTGATGTTCTCTGTGCCCTTTTTGGGTGCCAGTGATGCTCCCTGTGCCCCTTTGGGTGAAGTTCAGTTATAAACCAATGCAGTGCAGAGTCTGGGAAATAAACCAGCTGAAACTTGAGGCATCATTTCCCCCTTCAGAGGTTTTATGCCTTTACCTCTGCTGCCCTGAGCCGCCCTCCCCTCCTGCTGCTGTCCCTGCTCTGTTATCTCTGTGTGTTATCACTCACTGAGTGTGAAACTGGAGCTGCTGGGCCCCACCTGACCCAGGATTTTTATTCTCCCTTATCTTTGTGCCTGCTGCTGGACAAGTTTGGGATATTATTTTTATTCTTTGCTTTTTAAAGAAAGCAGTGAAATGGATTCTGTTCCTCTTTGCCATTGTGGTGCTTTCTCCATCAGCTTTGCAGGGCCTTTGCCAGGGCATTTTCCCTGGAAAGTCTTGCACAGCAGGAGCAGCATCTGTGACCTTCCTGGGCAAGCAGCACCTCCAGCTTTGGCCCTGAGTGTTCTGACCACCCTCAGTCCATCAGGATTTCTTTATCAATTCACTCTCCTGCCTTGGCCTGGAGGAGAAGAGCAGATTATTTCTCTGAGGTGTCAGTCTCCAATTCTTTTTAAAATTGGCTTCAGATCAATTAAAATCTTGGGCAGGGGGATGTGATCCCAAATCCTTGCTTTGCCTAAAAAGATTATTTTTTTTAATCTAAAAGAATACCCATTTTGTATTGAAAAGGATCCCTTTTTTTAAGGGATGTGATCCCAAATCCTTGCTTTCGCTAAAAGGATACATGTTTTTAAATCTAAAGGAATACCTATTTTGTATCAAAAGGATCCATTTTTTTCCCATATAAAAGACACCTTTTTTTCCCATATAAAGGATCCATTTTTTTCAGAGGGATGTGATCCCAAATCCTTGCTTTCCCTAAAAGGATACATTTTTTAAAATCTAAAAGAATACCCATTTTGTATCAAAAAGGATCCCTCTTTTAAGGGATCTGATCCCAAATCCTTGCTTTGCCTAAAAAGATTATTATTTTTTTTTAATCTAAAAGCATACCTATTTTATATCAAAATACATTTTTTAAAATCTAAAAGAATACCCGTTTATCATTTTTTATGAAAAATGATCCCTTTTTTTCAGAGGGATGTGATCCCAAATCCTTGCTTTCCCTAAAAGGATACATTTTTTAAAATCTAAAAGAATACCCGTTTATCATTTTTTATGAAAAATGATCCCTTTTTTTCAGAGGGATGTGATCCCAAATCCTTGCTTTGCCTAAAAAGATTATTTTTTTAATCTAAAAGCATACCTATTTTATATCAAAAAGGATCCCTTTTTTCCCATATACAGAATCCCTTTTTCCCCATATAAAGGACACCTTTTCCCATATAAAGAACACCCCTTTTCCTACACAAAGGATATTTTCCCCCTCATTTTTTCCTCCACCCAGGCTCAGGCCAATCCCACACCTTCCCTCCACGAGCAGAGCAGTGCAGTGGGAGCTCCCACATCCCAGAACAGTTTTTCCTCCAAGTTCTTCCTGTCCAAATCTCTCGCTTTCTGCAGTAATCAACCCCCGTGGTTATTTCAGCTGACGCTAATTACTGCCACGAACTAATTAATGCCGGTTGCCTTTCCTCTCCTCTCTGCAATGTTTTGAACCCACTGACACATTCCAATTAAGGGCCTCCTGCAGGCTCGGGGCTGGCGTGACTCAGAGCAGCCTCAGCTGGCATCGCTCGTGCGCTCTCCTGAAGGTCACCAATATTGTCACAGATTGTCCCTGCCGGCAGGGAGGCCTCCTGACCTTCCCACATCCACCTGGCATTGCCTCCAGCTCCGGGCAGCTTTGGGGGTTTGGTGGTTTTGGGGGTGCTGCTCCTTTGCAGGGGTGGGAATCTCTTTGGTTTTAGCAGGACAGCGAGGATGGGAAGAGGCTTGGGGCAAGGCACGGAGGGACAGCACACGGGGAATGGCTCCAGAGGGCAGGGGGTGTTCTATTTGCCTCCCCCAAACAGGTCTCATGAGCCCTTGGAGGTCTGTAACACACCCAAGATAGCTCAGCTACCTTTGGAGGCATAAAAATCAGCAGGATGGATCTGTGGCAGCAATGGAAACAAAAAGGTTTAATAAAAGGCAAAATAACAAACAGAAAAACCCATCCAGGGGCAAGAGGTCTTTGCTCCTGGTGAAACACCTCACAAGAGCCATTAGTTTCTTTGTTCACTTCTTTTCTAGAAAATTGCTCAGATTTCTGTCCAATTGGCCATCCTTAAGTTTGAGGTGAAGTCCCCCAGTTCTGTGAGGGGCTTTTCACCTGAAATCAGTGAGAGAAACTGCTGGGCTTCTTTCCTGTTTAGGGGGACAAAGGATGGTTTGGTCACCCCATCAACAGGGAGCACATTGCTACAAGGGAGGGATGGGATGTTGGGGCAAATCCTTCCCTGTGAGCATGGGCTGGGATGGGATTCCCAGATTTGCTGTGGCTGCTCCATGCCTGGCAGTGTCCCAGGCCAGGCTGGATGGGGTTTGGAGCACCTGGGACAGCGGGAGGTGTCCCTGCCATGGCAAGGATGGGATTTAAAGTCATTCCCACCCAAACCATTCCAGGATTCTGTGACAGGATTCCATGACTCCCTCACCCCACAGCAGGATGAGCCCCTGAACTCCCATCCCCTCATTCCTTATCCAAACAAAATTCCCCTTTTCCTCTCCTGGCTCTCAGGACTTGGCTCTCTCTGGACTCTCAGCATCCAGGCTTTGCTGGAAGTCTCCTCCTTCCCTCCTGGCTCTCCCAGTCCTGAGGGACTGGATCCCCCCTCCTCAGGCTGCCCTGCTGGGTCAGTGGAGGTGAGAGCTCCCAGCTGAACTGCAGATATGTCATTGGTATTAACAGCCCCGCTCAGACTCGTTATGCAAATGAGGGGAGAGGAGCCAACTGAGTTATTCATCTTTAACCTTTGTTTTGGGTTCGCGTGACCCCCCCCAGTGAGGCTCCTGCTGCTGCTCTGGCTCAGGCTGCTGGGTTCTTCTGCTGCCTCAACCCCAGGGCTGCACCCTGCTCCTGGGGGTGATCCCAGCTGGATATCCCTCCCTGGGAGTGATCCCACCTGGATATCCCTCCCTGGGGCTGATCCCAGGTGATCCCAGCTGGATATCCCTCCCTGGGGGTGCTCCTGGGGGTGATCCCAGCTGGATATCCCTCCCTGGGGCTGATCCCAGGTGATCCCAGCTGCACATCCCTCCCTGGGGGTGCTCCAGGTGATCCCAGCTGGATATCCCTCCCTAGGGGTGATGCCACCTGGATATCCCTCCCTGGGAGTGCTCCAGGTGATCCCAGCTGGATATCCCTCCCTGGGGGTGCTCCTGGGGGTGATCCCACCTGGATATCCCTCCCTAGGGGTGCTCCTGGAGGTGATCCCAGCTGCACATCCCTCCCTGGGGGTGATCCCACCTGGATATCCCTCTCTAGGGGTGATTCCAGGTGATCTGATTCCAGCTGATCCCACCTGCACATCCCTCCCTGGGGGTGCATTCCCAGCCCTGCAGGGAGGAGGGGACTCAGGGTGACACCAGGTCACAAGTCACCGCCAGGGACACGTTCCCTTCTCCCAGCTGTGCTCCTGTGCCTCTAATCCCGAGGTTCCTCCTGCTTCTGTAGCTCCAGGTGGGTTTGAGGAACTGAGGACATCCAGAAACACCCACCTGGATGGATGCCTGTTGATCAGGAGCTGCAGTGATGGGAAATGGGGGATACAGAGGGCAGGGCTGGATGGGAAATGGGGCAGGAATCCTTCCTGTGGTGGTGGGGAGGGGCTGGGATGGGATTCCAGGGGAGCTGTGCCTGCCCCAGGCCAGGCTGGACAGGGCTTGGAGCACTCTGGGCCAGTGACAGGTGTCCCTGCCATGGCAGGGGTGGCACTGGATGGACTTTAAGGTCCCTTTGCAGCCTGATGCCACAGCTCGGTGCAGAAGCTGCTGTGGAACATCCCCATCAATCCCAATCCATCCCAAAGCCCTGGGCACCGCAGGATGGGGCGGGGGCAGCTCTGGGATGTGCTGACGTGTCTGTGTTGCCTTGCAGGGGTTCCCTGGCCCTTCCCACGCCGCCCTGGCCCTGGGCTGTGAGCAGCGAGCCCTGAAGGAGAAGCAGGAGCAGGAGCAGGCCCCAGGCTGGGATTGCAGCAGCAGCGAGCTGGCCATCAGGATAGGTAGAGCTGGGCTGCAGCCAGGCAAGCATCCTGTCATATACCACCCCAGAGGGCACAGAGCCCCTGCTCCCTGGCACCGGGCTGCCAGCCCAGCTCCCAGGGTTTGCTCCTTTCCTTTCCTTTCCTTTCCTTTCCTTTCCTTTCCCAAAGCCACTTGCACTGTCTGGGCCATGAATTATTTATTGATCAGGAGCTCTCTGCGGTGCTGGAGCAGTGAAACCCTGGGGTTATTTCCAGTTCTGCCCCTGGGGCTCCCCCAGTCCCAGCTGTCCCCCCTCATTCCGGGGTGAATCCAGTCACAGCTCTCTTCTCCTTAAACGGATTTTAAGGAAGGAATTTTGGGTGCCTTTTTGGGATTCTCCAGCCCCCAGGGTGTGTCTGGGGTGGGTGGTGGGGACACGTCCCCTGAGACAGCACAAGTGGCTCTTCCTCCACTCAACAGCTCTCCAGGAGACAAAGCAAATGCAATTTAGCAAATTAATTTTATTTCTCCTCTGATTATTTGCTCGGAATTGTGGTTTAAAACATCACGAGTGCAACTGGGAGCAGATTGATTTCAAGGAATGGTCCTTCCCTTTACAAGGAGTAGCACTGCTCCCTTCTTAAATCAGCCTTTTATTTAACCACATTGCTTAATTGCACGTTTCCTAAAACGCTGCAAATCCTCAGGATTTGAAGCAGCAGCCTGGCTTTTTCCAGAGGGATGGGAGGATTTTTTCTGCTCCATGCAATGAGCTTTGCATCCTCCGAGTCCTTCGGAGGCAGCTGCAGGGGGGTTGATGTTTTTGTCAGGTGGAAACTTCCCATCCCAGGCACAGTTTAATTTTATTCTTGAAGGGGAAGCAGAAGTGCTCAGCCCTGCAGTTCTCAGCAGCTCGAGCTGCTGAGGTTTTTATGTTTTCATCTCCTTTTAGTTGCAGACAATAACAGTGCAAATGGTTTTGGGAATAGAAAATTTCCATTAGGCTTTGTTGTTTTTTTTCCCCTCTCTCTGGGGAAATGGTATTAAGGACCTACAATACATTAATTCTTTTATTGTCTTTTCCTTTTTTCCCCCCTTTCTTTCTAGTGAAATAAACTCGGTATTTTCACAAAATACCCGCAGCCTTCCAAGAAAGCTGCTTTCCCCAGGGCTGGGTAGTGCCTGCCTGGCCCTGGGGAAGCTCTGGGAACATAATGGGTGTTTTCAAAGTCTAATGGGTACTAAGTGGAATATTTCAGGCTTAATCACTGTTGAATCATTGACCCTTCCTTCATATTTACATCTTTTTAAATCGCTAAAGCTGTGAAAACAAAGGAAAATCCCAAAGCAGCAGCTGCCTTGTTCTGCCTGGGGAGGGATGGGGGTGAGAGCAGGGAGCTGGGATGGGAAATGTGGGAAATCTCTGCAGGGCCCTGCTGGGGGGCTGGGGATGCATTTTTAGCCTGGATTTGGGGTGTGCTTTGAGGCTTTGGGGTGGCTTTGGGGTGACTTTGAGGCTTTGGGGTGGCTTTGAGGCTTTGGGGTGTGCTCACACTCCCAGCTGTCACCAAGCCAGGAGGTTTCCTTCACACCTAGGAGGAGGAGGTGGAGGAAAGGTGGGGGTTACATCTGTCCCTCATCTGCTCTAGGGGGGAGAGAAAAAGCCTCATTTTGCCTTTTTTCCCCTCAGTCAGCAGCGTTTTGGGGCAGCCCAGGCTGGTGGAAGGTGTCCCCTGGCAGGGATGGAATTAGGATGAGCTTTGAGCTCCCCCCCAACCCATTCCATGGCTGCTCTTCCCCCTCATCCCAAATCCTCTGGGTTTCCATCCCCTGCTTTTGCTGGGGCTCTGCTCCAGCCTGTCCTGAATAGAATTAAATTACTGGAGGTCAGAGGAAAATTTTTGAAATCAGTACAATCAAGGCCAGAAATATGCTATTGTCATGGAGGCCAAAGTGTGAAAACACAAATGAGTTACAGGGTTGCCAAATTTCTTGATGCATCTCTAGTATCTCAGGTAAATTTTTAGTTTTCCTGTAAGCTTCAGCGCCTGAATCCTTTTGGGGTGGAATCATAAATTTAATGGAAAGTGAAGTAAAATTTCAGCCCTTCATCCCAAATCCTTCGGGTTTCCATCACCTGGGTTTGCTGGGCTCTGCTCCAGCCCCTCTCCAGCCTGTTCTGGGCAGAATTACGATTTTTTGGGAGTTGCTAAAAGGTGCCTGTGGCTGCCTGGAGTAAGGTGTGTGTATCCCTGGCAAATGCAGAATGGGTGGATTCGCCCTGAATTGCACTGAGAACTCTGTCTGGACTGGTTGATGAGTGGGATAATCACCAGGCTTTAATTACTCCAAGGGAGAGAGACTCCAGCCTTGTCTCTGATAGCTCTGGGTAGGCAAGGGCTGTCATTTGTGTTTCTGTGCTGGGGATGGAGCTCAGGGGGTTTGTCCCCAGCTGGTGGAGCCCTCCGGGGTGCCAGGAGTGCCCTGGCCGGGCTGTGCCCCCCTGCCCTGCTCCTAAACCCCCTGAGCAGCCCAGGGCTGGGGCCAGCCCCTCCTTCTGCCTTTTCCAGGTGCTCAGTGCAGAGGAAATGGCCAGGGCAGGGTCAGTGCAGGGCTGGAGGCCAGGCCTGACCCCGCTGTGTTCTGGGGCAGTTCCCAGAAAGGATTTCCAGGCAGCAGAGCACCTGGAAACCCGAGCTGTGACTCAGGACAGCTGGCTATGGAACAGCTGCTGCCTCCTGCTGCTGATTCAGATCCCAGCCCTGGGGCTGAGTGGGACATGCTGCTCCCTGGAGCATCCCCCACAGCTGGGAGAGCTCTGGGGCACAGCAGGGCGGGTGCAGAGCTGGGGAAAATCCCAAATATCCCTGGGTGCCCAGGCAGGAGCTCCAGGGAGGGAAGGGCAGAGGAATTTCTCAACTCCAAAGAAGTGGCTGAGGAAGCAGCAGGAGAAGCAGCAGCAGCATCTCTGCTGCTCGTCATCCACCCCAGAGCCAGGGATGTGAGTCTGGCTCCTGGAGAGAGATTTTACAGGAGCCTGGAGTGACAGGACAGGGAGGAACAGCTTCAGACTGACAGGAAGAGGAGTGGGATTGATGTTCGTGAGAAATCCATCCCTGGGAGGGAAAAATCCTTCCTTGGGAGGGGGAAATCTGTACCTTGGAGGACAGAATCTGTCCCTGGGAGGGTGAAATCCATCCCTAGGAGGGTGAAATGCTTCCCTGTGAGGACAAAATCCTTCCCTTGGAGGACAAAATCTGTCCCTGGGAGGGGGAAATCCTTCCTTGGGAGGGCAAAATCCATTCCTGGGAGGACAAAATCTGTCCCTGGCAGGGCAAAATCCATCCCTGTAAGGGTGGAGAGGGGCTGGGATGGAATTCCCAGAGGAGCTGTGGCTGCCCCATCCCCAGAAGTGTCCAAGGCCAGGTTGCAGCACCCTGGGCTGGTGGAAGGTGTTGATCCCTGGATCACCTGGATCATCCCTAATTTCCCTTCCCTGCTCCGTGGTGCCCCTGGCTGCAGCAGGGTGAAGTCACTGCTGGCACTGAGGGCAGCCAGGCTCTGCTGGAATGACTCATTGGCTTTTGCTGGGCAGTGATTTAGGAGCTGGTGCCCTGGCATCCCTGCCTGGCTGCTCAGGAGCAGATCCAGATGGATTTCATGGCTCTAAAAAGCACCCTGTGTTTGCAGCAGCGTCTGTAAGAAATGAAATTTTGTTAAACTCATTACTTAAACGAGCTGGGAGCTCTGGGGGAGCTGCACAGACACCTCATTACATAGAAATTGTATTTTTTTCCCCTCAAATTGGAGCTGCTGTATCACATCTGAGGCCCAGGTGGGGATTTGGCTGGAGCTGGGGACAGCCCTGCTGTGGTGCCAGGACCTGCTGGCCCCTTGCAGCAGCATCACCCCTTCCTAAGCTCATTTTTTGCCATTTTTCCCTTATTTTTCCCCTCCAAAGGAAGTTTCCATGCACCAGGGCTGCCCCAGGGGCTGCACAGGAGAGGCAGCAGAAGCTGCTCATGTAGAATCTCCTTTTCTCAGTGCACTGGAGTGAGCTGGGGAGATAAAAACACCTGGGAACCAAGACAGAGAGAGAGCACCAGCTGAATTTTGGGCTTGGCACTGATGCTTGAGGCAGCACATCAGTGGGGCTTGTCCTTCGAGCCAAAAAATCCCAATTTTTCCCTGTTTCTTCTGAGAAAGAAGGGAAACCCTGAGGGGAAGCAATGCCCAGCTCTCTCACAGGAGCAGCCTGTGGGTTTTCTCCTCCTTCCCTCCCTCCCTGAGCAGAAGCAGAGGCTGTGAGGGAGAAATGATGGATCCAAACCCTGGGGATTGATCGGGGTCATTCAGCCAGAGCCTCCTGTGTGCATCCAGAAAGTTCATTAAGCTTATATAACACAAAACTCCTGCCTAAAAATGAGCTAAAAAGGGGTTGTTGCCCAGTTTTTAACCATCCCAGCTCTGTGAGGGATAATTCTGACACGTTCACATTATAGGCTTAAATACAAATTAAGGAAAACAGAGGTTAGGTTAGAAAAAATACCTTCACGTGCAAAATCAGTGCTGCTGCTCTGCAAATCACTTCTTTTTGCCTCTAAGCCAAAGGAATAGCACATCCTACAAGCAATGCAAACTCATTTTCCAGACTTAATATGTGAAAAAACAAATAGAGATTCCTCATGTTGCAAAATTAATCATGATTTGTTGAGATTTTTTTTGCTCCAGATAATGATGATTTTAATTACAGTAAGGTTTCATTTGCATATATCCCAATCTCACCAAGCTAAGAACAGTTCAGATCCATTGCAAAAAGACATGGCTCAGACATGGCTGCTCCTTCCACCAGTTATCCAATTATCACCCACTGTTATCAAGGTTTCATTTCCTGGCTGCACCTCACAGTCTGTTGAATTCTGCACCTGCATGAAATAAATTCCTTTACCTTCTTCACAAGTTCAGGTAGTAGTTTATAATTGAACAGAAAAGTCTGCAGTGTGCACTTTGAAGAATTAATTATTAAACTAAAAGCGAAAATAATTTAAGTATCATTTCT